AATATCATCAGCAGGAAATCCACCCACCACTAGTAGGTGTGATCCTGAGCTAGTGTTAATCAATACACTGGAATGACCACGTCTTTCCTTAGGCCATTGTACTGATCCTCCAGGATTAGATAACTTTGAACAATTCTAAAATAATAAAATTAAATTTAATTATCATAAACCACACCCACAAACTCAGTGTTATGAATAATAATACACACATACAATACATTATTAATTAATAATTAATGTAATTATACTAATAATACACTCACCACTGATGTATCAGTAAAATTAAGAATATATACATTGTTACTCTCTCCATTAGCAGTGTCACCTCCAAATAATATAGCACTGGAATTATTAATTGATGTTAAAGTGATTTGATAAATAGGAGGTGGTCTGTCTCCAGTGACAGTCGGTGATATCCATTGTCCTAAAAATATCAATAATAATAATTAGTGTGAATGGAATGCATTGGGTGGAGCAAACTAGTTGATATTTCTTTGATCATATTATCAAATAATTAGGAGTGACAACCATGAACAAACAAACAAGCAATTCTCAATGCAACCAGTCTGAGTGGAGAACCACCAAATAACAATACTTCATTATATTAATATAAACTGTATGTGCTCTGACCTGTTGAGAGTTTATAGAAATGAATCTCATTGCATCGTTGCCGCTCAGGTAATCCTTTAATCTCACTGTACTGGGCACCAGGTTGTTTGGGTGTATTATTAGAAGATGGCCCCTTTCCTCCAATTACTACAAGATAGTCCTCACCGTTCACTTTTATTGTTATCATGTCACAGAGGGACTTCATCATAGGACCATGATGGGATGTAGTAGGAGAGAGTTCCTTCCAATTGAAGGTATCAACATTAAAACTGTATAAAATATTAAATAATAATTATTTATCAGCAACTATTATGTTTACCTGTATAAACTATTATGATAACAGCTAACATGATTACACCATCCTCCGAAATAAAATATTTCCCTTCCAATGGCAGCAGCTACATAGTTCCTAACACCCAGTGGAGGGTTACCAGTGGTGGGTTTCTGCTCCCACCTACCAGTCCTTAGGTCACACACCTCCATCACAGAACACATTGATTTCTTCTTTTCATTATTATGTACTTTAGGGAGATCAGGCTGGGACCCACCCCACATGTACAGGTAGTCTCCTACCCGTACAGTAGAGTGTTCTCTCCTCTTCACTGGTTGATAGTCTATAGATAACAAGAGGTAACAGTAACTGAATGATACACTAATAGTAACAACACACCAGTCATAATCAAGTATAAACAAAATACTGACCTGGTGCTTCGGCTGCCATTTGTTTGGAAGTACCGCCCTTCTATGACGTCATACAAATAGTTTAATAAACAATTAATAAACTAAACCAGATGTAACGATATCAAAATTAATTTTGATAAAATTTTGCTTTGCAATTTTTAAAAATTAAAATTAAAAAATAAAATAGCAAAAGTATACCCTATCAACAAAATCTGCAGCAACAACAACAACAACAACAACAACAACAATAATAATAATAATAATAATAATAATAATAAGTCAATCAGCCAACAATGCATTATAGTTAAACAAATGTATGTTACATGTACATGTATATAAGTGTACATGTACATGTATTAGTGTATTATAGTATATGTATTGTTTTTAATTAAAGACATCCAGGAATCAGCTCCAGAAGGGGGAGGGGCAGCCCCGCCCCCTCCGCTAGTAAAACTATCACCAAACATATCCATACCACCTCCAAACCCACCCCCTGTCCCAGGGGCAGGGGGCAACGCACCAAAAGTATCGTCAAACCCAGAAGGGGCGGGGCCAGAAGTAGTGGGCGGGGCATCAGTGAAGTCTAAATCAGGTGGACGGTATGGTAGAGGGGGTGGAGTTTCTGTATTAGTGGGAGGAGCTTGGAATATTGTGGGAGGGGCCGGTTCAGGTTTTGATGTTGTTTTGTCACGAGCTATTGAGACCAGATCAGAGAATGCATCAATTTTGCCCC